TCCCTCTGATATCAAAAAGGTTAGCAACATCGTTGCAACAAGTTTGCAAACTGAATTGTCAGACCTCATACATACAATGAAATATTGCTCAGCCATGGAAGAGAAAGTGTTCTTACCATCTGCAGCATCATGGATGGACCTGGAGGGTATTGCCCTGAGTATGTCAGACAGAGAAAGACAGATGCAATGTGATTTCACTTGTATGTGGAATCTAAAGAACAAAATAAATAAACAAAACAGAAACAAACTCATAGAAACAGAGAACATTTTGATGGCTGCTGATGGGAGAGGAGTTGAGGGGATGGCTAAAGAAGTGGAAGGGGTTACGAAGTGCAAATTGGTTATTACAAAGTAGTCCTAGGGATGAAAGGTATAGCATAAGAATAGTTAATAATACTGTGATAACTATGTATGGTGTTACATGGGTACTAGATTTATCAAGGTGATAGATGGGAGGGGGTTTGGGGGGCAGGGTGAAAAAGGTGAAGGTATTAAGAAGTACAAATTGATAGTCACAAAATAGTCATGGGGATGTAAAGTAAAGCATAGTGGACATAGTCAATAATATGGTAATAACTGTATAGTGCCAGGTGAGTACTAGATTAGACAGGGGGAATCACTTCTTAAATTATACAAATGTCTAACCACTTTGCTGTACACCTGAAATTTATATGAAATTTTACTGAATGTCAAAAAATAAAAAAAATCTTTAAAAAAATGAAATTTGTCCATTTCATCTCCATTGCAAATTTATTCATATAAAGTTGTTTATAGTATCCACTTATTATTCTTCAAATATCTGTAGGGTATCATTCCTGATATTGATAATTTGGTTCTTCTCTCCTTTTTTTATTTTCATATCAGACTGGTTAGAGCTTTGTCAATTTTTTGATCTTCTCAAATAATTTGGTTTTATTTTTTTGTTTAAAGATTTTATAGGGGAATCAGGGAAGGGGAACAGACAAGTTGCTGTCCTTTTGTTCTTCGGTCTAGTTGTGAAGGACACTGCTTCACTGGCCCATGTTGGTATTGTGATCATTGCTCTCTTCCCGGGTGAGGCAGATTGGTTGCCGGCCATTGGATGGCCATTCACGGCAGCTCACACCAGCTGCCGGCCGCTCACGCTGCCTGCCAGCCACACACGATAGCTTATGGTAGCCCACTGCAACAGGGGAAGCAGCCTACACTGTCACCGACGACTCATGGCAGCCGAGCTCCAGGTCGAGCTGTTGTTCACCATCTTAGCTGTAGAGGGCGCAGCGTCACTGGCCCATGTGGGATCTGAATCAGAGGCCCTGCTGCTCAGAGCTTGCGTTCCCAAGCCAGCTGTTAATCAATGAGCCACTCGGCCAGCCCATCAAAGAATTTGCTTTTTGATTTCATAGATTTTCTCTGTTGATTCCATTGCTTCTTGCTCTGATCTTTATTACTTTATTTCTTCTACTTTTTGTTTTGGCTTTCAAAACTATAAAGAAAATGTGCATGTGTGTGTACACATGTGTGTGCCTGCATATGTGTGTGTAGTTTGTTGGTAACGTTCCTAAAATAAATTATCTAAATTGTCATTTTATGTTGATTGAAATTACTTACAAATCCTTGGAACCTTTCCATAGTTCATCTTAGAGCAATGTTTTATCCTATGTGTTGATCATTCTCCAGAAACTGGAGTTTGGATGAAAAATTATAGCTTCCTATGTTTGCCTATTTGGATAAACCTATTGGCTTGTAAGTAGGGCATCATCACTCATGAATAATGATATAACCAGGGCCTTGTTGATTTTCTTAAATCAGAAATGTTTACATTTATGATTTGGGGTTTGGGATGCAGAGGAAGGGCACTATTAAAATGTTAGTGCCAAGGTTGTGTTCAAAATATAACTTGGGTATTTAATTATGAGATAGGATGTCGATGCATCACTAATTTTCCCATGTGGTTGCTGGGACAGGTCTTATCCCGCTTTGTAGTCCTGTCCCTTCCATACTTCTGACATTCAGAGGAGCTGGGTATAAAACAGTCAACCTTAGTCCCATGGAGGTGTTCTGTCACTTTACACACCGAAAGAATAGTTCTGTAATGTGACTTCGTTTTAACTTTGTCCCATGGTGTGTCTGGACCTTGGAGATGAAATTATAGTGAAACGATAGTCCTGCTTCCACAAAGAGGCTAGCAGTTCAGACAATGGCTATACCAGTCACTTAGTCATATTCAAAATTTGATGTTTCAGAATTGCCTGGGGTGCTTTTTAAAAATAACGATACCTTCAGTAGCACCCCTTTCCCTGTCACTCACACCTCCTCCCTTCCTCCCCACAGGATTTAGTATGTCTGGGGTGGACATTTTTATTTTCATCAAGTGCACCGTTTGATTTTGTTGTTCCAAAGGTTGAGAACTAACAACTTGTGTAATCCCAGACCCTTGATGTTTGTAATTTGTATTTTCTCTTCATAATATCATAAGGCTGATAGTGTCTGCCTGTGGCACTCATGATCTAGCCTTGATTAGGACATTGTTTTCTAATGTTCGCTGGGATTTATTAACGATTGTCATTGTTATTTTTATCATGATTTGATTATAGTTTGCATTCAGATAAAATGTGTGGGACATACATATTTTGTTGTATGTGTGAGAGTGATGTGTTATTGAGTTAGTAAAATGTGGCTTTTACTCTTGCTATTTTCCTCTTCCTTGTGGAAATATAGGACACCTTGATCATATTCTCCAAGCCTCATTCTCATAGCTCTTTCTGGTGTTCAGGTTCTGTTGCCTTCATGGCAGTAAATCGAGGCTAGCAGTTAATAAAGTTTTATAGTTCCTGGATTTTTGGACTGTTTCTTGTACAACTAAAACACCTGTGATTTTTTTTTTAATTATTAGGTTAATTGTTTGCTGTGTCATAGAATGCTTTTGGCAAATTATCCATGGCTGTTTCTGTTGGAGGAAAAATACTTTGCAGATCTATTGGCTGGGGTTTAGTAAAAAATGCTTCTCTTAAAGTTTAGCCAGATTGTTGTTCTGCCTTACAAAAGCAGGTGGAGTTAGACATTTGAATCTTAAATAAGGTGCTATAGCTTATATTTTTTATTATTATTTTAAATTTGTATTGGAGGTCATGGATTATGTCCTGCTAGGTGTCTAAGCAAAAAATGTTCCAAATGTTCTGTTTTTCTCCAGCTGAAATAGCAGGGAAAAAGGTATTTGAGAGTGAGATTTTCCTGATGAAATGATTTACTGTGTTAGTCTCACTGCCATCACTTTGTTGCTCTTTATGTTAGCAAAGGTGGTGACATCTGTAGGGCTGTGCAAATGCTTTCATACAAGGTTGAATTTGAAGACTTCATTTCTTCCCTCACCTGTCACCTTTTTTTTCTTCCCTGTAACTCTATTCAATCCTGTGTAATTAAGGATAATTAGGTGTTAAGATTAAGTGGAATTAGAATGAGCTAATTACTAATTACTCATACCCTAATTGTGAACTGAGAAGATGCACTAGATTTGGAGAAAGTAGGGGTACCCTGTAGTGAACAATATAATTACCTGAGGTTGGAAAGTTGGGGACAGGTTGAGAATGCAGACACTGATGGCTTTCTCCCAAAGCATCTGCTTCCTAAAGCATACACAGATAGGTGCACATGGAACATCTGAGCTAACTGCACAAAGTGGCTTTGGTCTCACTTAAGACTCCTCATTGAGGTAGCCTGGGGTTGATCAGTAAACACCTCCAGTTCAGTAAACACTTTCTATGCTATCAATTTCTTGATGAACATGCTGCAAATTAGGATTAAAGATATGTTTTTATATAGGGAGCCAAGTAACTGGCACAGAGGTTGTATACACTATATACTTGTTAACAGATTTCTCTAAGGGTACTTCTGGAAAAGTAGTATTTTCAGGACTCAAATCACTTAAGTCTTTTTCTTTGATCTCATCATTTTTACAGATAAATTGCATTGCTTTTCCTTCTAACATAAACACTTTGAAGGACAGATTATTATTATTTTTAATTTGGCTAATTTAAGGTCAACCTAAAACAAATCTAAAAACCGCTTTGTTAATCCAGTTGATTAGTTGCATGTTAAGTGTGTTCCCCCATCAAATTTTTGTACAAATTAAATAACAACAGGAAGTAAATGTATGAGGATATTTTGAGGTGGTGATAATCCAAAGTGACTGCATTTTATGTAAATACTTTTGAGATCCAAGATGACAATATATTTTTTAAGTGATTTAAGTTGATTCTTTGTATTTAAAATGTGTCCATAATCAACCTATTGGTCTTTTTGCGACCTGCACTTTTTTTTTTTCAGGTTGATTTCTACTTATTTATAGGACTAGCTATATAACCTCAGTCTGAATAATTCTGGTATAAGCTTTGGACATCTCTAGCAGTTAACTGCAAGAATGACTCTTTGCCTAGCACTAAACATTTATTACCTTGTTCCCTTTATATAGTCCTTTCCAAGTATCCCCTCTTCTTAGGAAAGTTGAAATTTTTATAAGCATTTTATTTTTCTTTTGTACCAGGCAAAAGGTTTTAACATTTCATTTAAATACCTCATGAGGTTTCTTGTTTTTAAAACATGTTTAAAAAATAAGAAAGGTACCTCTCAAATTGCCCTCAGGCATCCACTGAAGGAGATGTCTTACTTAGACTGGATAGTAGGCCATTGCATGATGACATCTCAAGACAAAATCTTGGTAAAAGGAAAAGCCATGTGCAAATGTGGAAATTCAGTCTCCATCACCGGTGGGGTATCTGTTTGAATCTGTAGTTTGGCCCTTACCAACTCTTGCTTCAGTTTTTGGGTGTTTCTGACAACTTGTCCACCTTCTATCCAAATACTCCTTTGAGTCTTAAACCACGAGTGTTATTTTAAGGAAGTGCTTCTGAAAAAGCGCAATTGTATTAGTGTATATCAGTGTGAATATATAGTTTGTTATTTAAAATTTAAAATTCAAGGAATTGGAGTCATTATTAATCAGTGCCCATCTGGTCTTGCAGATGGTCGTGGAAACTGAGAAGTACAGCCTGTCCATGAGGATGGCTTCATCCGAGGATGTGAGTGAGGTGCTGGCTCACATCGGCTCCTGCCTGCGGAGGATATTTCCTGGCCTTTCTCCAGTGTGAGTTCTCCTGCAGAAGGGTGTGGGGAGCAGAGAACTTTTCCCTCCTCAATTTGGCAAATAAGAACATGCCTTCCTCCCACCCCTTATCTTAGTTCCTCTCTCACACTTCCTTCTCTTAAACACCTAGGTGGGGATGTTAGGTAGGCAGGTAGATATGTGAGGCTGGAGCTTGGAGAGAAGGTTCAGGACTGGAAATGTAGCACATGTGAGAGTCATTAGCGTAAAGAGGGTCTTGCTGCATGACTGTTGATGAGGTCACCTAGAGAGAGCAAGTGTCTTGACCATGAACCCAATGCTTAGAGGTTAAGTTAAAGAGCAATAGCCTAAAAGGAAGTTGGGTAAGGATTCCCTTGGAAAACCAGAGCTTGGAGGAGTTTCTGAAGGAAGGACTGGTAATTGCAGACTGAAACTGGGCATTGGACATGCCGAGGGCAGAGGGTGGCCAGTGAGTTGGCACCATGAACGGTTCAGGCCTTGAGCAGAGCAGTTCTAGTGTTTGGTAGGGAGAGGCTGATGCCCTGACTGTGAAATTAGAAAGTGGATGTGGTATGTGTGGAAAACTTCATGGAGAAGTTTAGCTCTGAAGGGGAACTGACAAGTAGGATATAGCTGAAGGCATGTGAGGAATTACAGGAGATTTTTGTTTGTATTCAGAATGGGAGATATTAGAGCATATGGCTATAATGAGGGGAATAATGTAGAAAGTCAGAGATTGTTGCTGGAGACTGAGTAGTAAGTCAGCGCTATTCTGGAGAAGTTAAGAGGGACATAGAGCACAGGACATTACTGTCCTTCCTTCTAGCCTGGGAGCTGCTTGAGAAAAGGCTATGTTGTTATTAATCTTAGATTGCTAGTCCTTGGCACATAATAAATACTCACTGAGATTTTGCATGAGCCCATAAATTTCATGCTTACTTGGTGCCTAAACAGTGTTGGGTGATGTGACATTAGAACATATACAAGTTAGCAGACAGTGGCCCTGCCTTAAAACCATGGACACTTGAGCTCAGGTGACATAAAGCAGATGAGACAGTAGGTGACTGGGTGGAGATGGGCAATGAATGAATGCAGGCTGGCTGTGCAGAGGAGATCTACCTGAAAAGGATGGAGAGAATTTACAGGAGGGGGTGGGGAAAAGAGAGGCAGTTCAAATGAAGGTACCCATATGAAAGAAGGTGCAGATTATATTTAGAAAATGACTTGGCAGAGAATTTAAATAACTTAAATGTACTTGACTTTCATTTTGTTTTTGTGTTCAACACACACAGTTAGCTTGTCAAAATAAACTCTTAGTATTTTGTGACTTGTATGATCTGCCTTTACTCTTGAAGTTCCTTAGATTATATTACATGATTTTGGCCAGAGAAATGTATAATTATATTGGTGTTGGTAATTGTGCTAGAGAGGGTGGAGAAGTGGGTAACCATATCCTCTCTTCTACATTCCTAGTATGCCTGAAGTTAAAACTGTCAGGGAAATACTTCCTTTACATAAATAATATAGAACATGCAAAATAAAATATGTCCCCAGCGACCTCTTAATAAGTTGGAGAAAATATGAAACTATATTTGGACTCCTCAAGCCTTATTTGAATCATTGGTCCATGAAATATATGACCTGAGCCATCCCTCATCTCCCTCCGTGCTCAGGGCACTTCTGGTGGGGACTGGTCAACAGGAAACAATGTATGATGAGCAGCAATCAAGAATCAGGAGGATAAACAAAGTCGGGGTAGCCATAAAAAATTTAATCACTGTTGAAATTGCTTTGTTAACATTTTCATCTTTGCTGTGCGATACTATCATTGGAGGTCTCACCTCCAAGACAGTGGTAATGAAGGGAAACCCAGGAAATATTTATAGTCTGAGTGCTGTTTAATCTGTTTCCACAGTGGTGTCTCTCATGGCAGTTCTCTTCAGGACGCTATTTTGTCTTGTGGCCTTCAGCTTCTGTAATATCAAGAACCTTGGCTGCTCTCCAAAACTAAGCTAGGTTTTATAATACTAAGTTAAGTCACTAGTATAAGTTGGAATTACTTTAGAAAACGTTCTCTCAAAAACTTCCTCGTGGCACATAGATGAGTAGATTGTTTCCTGCCCTCTAAGAGTTTATAGTCTAAAGATAGTGTAAGAAAGTTCCACAAGTAATATAATGATGAGAGTGAAACATCTGCAAATGTCAGAGGAGGGAAAGTCACATTTAACTCCAGATGTCAAGAAAATAATGTTTGGGGAGATGGTCCAAGATGGCGGATTAGGTAAACGCTATGCCTACTGCATCACAGGATCACACCAAAATTCCAAATAAATTTTAGAACCATCAACTTCAAGAATCATTTGAAGACTAGCTGAACAGCAGAACCCCTATAACTTAGGATATAAAGAAGAGGCCACATTGAGACCAGTAGTAGAGGTGGAGATGTGTAACGGTCTGACCCCAAACTCACAGATAGTGGTGAACACCAGGAGGGATGCCTTGGTGGTGGAGATCTCCCCAGAAAAGGGAAGGGTCCCATCCCCACACCAGGCTCTCCAGCTTAAGGGTCCTATACCAGCAGTTCCCACATCTGGCAGTGAAAATCAGTGAGGATTCTACTCTGCCTGTCCTGGTGAGATGAAAGGTGGCTGGAAACCCAGACACGCTCTTAGTCTTTTTTTTTTTTTTTTTAGCTGAGTCATCCTACTACCTGTGGCAGCTCAGTGGCTGCTCAGCTCGGGCCGGGACTCGAACCACTGTTGCTCAGAGCTCAAGCTCTTGAGCGAGCTCTTAACCAACTGAGCCACTCGGCCGGCCCCCAGACACCCTCTTAAAGGGCCCACACACAGACTCACTCACTTGCAAATACCTGGTCTCTGGTGGAGGAGCAACAACTCGAGAGAGATATATAAGGAAAGACTGAGTTGTGTGGCTGTGGGACAAGGGCTGAGGGACAGCAGCCATTATCTTTGTGTGGAGCCTTCCTCACGTATACCCTACAGGAGGGTGCCATCTTTTCTATGTTGGTACCACCACCTCCCACCCACCCGCCCCTGCAAAGGGCCAAATCTGAGACAGCATTGGCTGGTAAAACCTGTGTGTGCATACCACCTTGGTGATGCCCTTGGTCCCTGCGCTGCACAGCTGACACTGCATTACCCAGGGCACTCACAGCTGCTGAGTGGCCAGCCCTGCCACACAAGTTGTAGAAACCTTGTATAGCAGCGGGCGGCCTATGGTGGCCCAGGGAACTTTTGGCGGTTGGCATTGAGTGAGCCACAACCTGTGCCACATCTTCTCCTGGGAGGTTTTTGGAGACCTGTGGGCCTAAGACAAGGGGTGACTAGCCATGGTGTTCTTAGAGCATTTCTGTGAATTGGTCATGGGCCTGGCACCGGTGCAAGAACCAAAACTGCATTAACTTTGTAAAAACCACCATCCACACTCTGTGTCTCCCTGGAACCCTGCCCTGCCCACCTACAGCTGAATGGCCCACAAGCTGTGAAAGCCTGTTGCAGGAGTGGATTGCTTGTGGCTGCCTGGAGAACTTTTGACGGTGGCCAATGAGCCACAATTTATGCTGTAGCCTCTCTTGGGCAGCTCTTAGGGATCTGCAAGCCCAAGGAAGCAGTGGCTTGCTATGGTGTTCTCAGGGCATTTTGCAAAGTGGTCACAGTCCAGGCACTGGCATGAGAACTGAATCTGCATTAACCTGGTAAAAACTACCCACCATACCTTGTGACTCCCTGGGACCCTGCCCACCCAGCTAGTGCTGCATCACTGAAGGTACTTTCAACACTGGGTAAACCAACCCAACCATGCACCTAAGGAGGCTCTTTAGAGGCTGAGCCATATTGGTAGACAGCAGGTGGCAATAGGCCAAGGGGCCCCTGGGCCTTTTGCTAAGCTGCCACAGTCCCCACACTTGGGGAGGCAGGCCTTAGTTCACAGCAGGGCCACTGCCACCTGCCTCCAGGACCAGCAGAGGCAGCAGCCAACCACATATACCTTTGTGGCTCCTACCAGGTAGCCATGGGCTGGTCACAGGCAAGGCTGAAATTGGCCTGCATGGGAGCCCCTTCCAAGAGACATCAGAAACAACACACCTAGAGGCCAGCTTCAAACCACACCAAAGCACTACCTGGTTAACCCTACAAGCGGCACACCCAAGGGGGGGGCGGGTGGGTCTCAACAGGTACAATAGCCCGCGGGGTAATCCCCCTTTGAGAGGTCAGCCCACACACAGCAGCTCATACACTGTGGGCACAGCTAATCCTCACAGTCAGTCAGCCTACGAGTCAATCCAACCCACTGATGTCCCAAAAGCAGTAAAGGCTCAACTACAACAGGAGAACACACACAACACCTTCAAAAGACAGTCCTGGAATACATGAACATGAGATCAGGAAGATTGCACCATTGGACCACACAGGACATATACTATGTAAGGCCACCCAGGAAACACTGAGAGACATAGGACAGCTACCCAATACATAGAAACAAACACAGAGAGGCAGCCAGAATGAGGAAACAAAGAAATATGTCCCAAATAAAAGAACAGGAGAAACCTCCACAAATAGAACTAAATAAAATGGAGGCAACCAACCTCCCAGAGACAGAGATTAAAACACCGGTTATAAGAATCCTTAAGGAACTTATTGAAAATTTCAACAAAGAGATAAGTAAGCATAAAGAAGGAAACAGAAACCATGAAGAACAGGTCAGAAATAAAGAATACAATGACTGGGGCCGGCCGAGTGGCGCTATGGTTGAGAACTGGCTTGGGATGCCGGAGGGCCCTGGTTCGGATCCCACATATGAGGGCCAGTGACACTGCCCTCCACAGCTGGGATGCTGGACGGCGGCTCAACCTGGAGCTGGGCTGCTGTGCGTCGCCGGCGATGGTGTGGGCTGCAGCCCCTGTGGCAGTGGGTTGCCGCGGGCTGCCATGTGTGGCCGGCGGCCAGCGTCAGCGGCCGTCCAGGGGCCGGCGACTGATCTGTCGTGCCTGGGAGGAGCGC